GTTTCCTTTCATTCAGAATAGCATCGAACTCCTTAACAAGCCAGTAATAGAGACATTATCAACAATGAGGAACTTTAAGGTTTGACTTGTCTTGGAGTGATTGATCAACAACAATTCCTCCAAGCTCAAGTGTTTTTCTATTCAACGGCCTTGGATATGAAAGGTACGGATGAGCGTTTGTGAAAACGTAGGAAACGTCCGCCATATATTCCTGTAGATAAGTCAGTTCTCCCGCCTAGAGTTAAATCCAACCCGATAGCTTCTGAAATCTTTTCCGAAAGCTTCTTCGATAATACCAGTCTCTGTGCTCCAACTAGAGAGAAAATGATAGCTGAAACCTATGATACTCAAGGTGTTTTTGAATCTTTCGAAGAAGTTCATATTGCTTTTTGAAACAGATATTGAGCCGGGCACAAAGCTCGGCAATACTGGTTCTCCTGAAAAGCGTTTTCGATGATTTCTTGATTGAGAAGTAGTTTAAACCAATTATATCGGAAACTATTTCAGATTGCATGATTGACAAAGTTGCAATTGTTACTGGAATTTTCAAATGTTCCGCCAAAGCTATGAAACAGGAGGTTCACTTTTCGTTTAAACTTTTTTCTACCAAACGGGCACAGCACGAAAGGCTCAGCAATTAGAATGTCAAACTTCTCGCTAGCCATGTCATCCAAAAATTTCTTATCATTTACCAAATCTATAATAAGCTTCGTTAGCTGTTCGGGTGGAAGGGTTTATACGTTCGCAGATTAATAGGGAAGCCTTGGTCATATTACCAAAAATCTTAATATTTCACTGATTACGTATTGAGCGGAGAGAGGAAAACTACCTTCATAAGCGTGAACGGATCATTCGATATTGCCCATAGGGATTTTAATAGATGTTCATGACCAGCTGCCATGATCTCTTCAACTTCTTTGCTGGCTGGAATGATTCGAACATCTTTAGTGGATTTCACGCATGTCTTCTTCAAATTCGGATCCATAACAGGCAGTACATAGGTCTGAGTAGAAGAAAATTATTTGTTGAAGATACAGCGATTAGC